TGTTTTTCAGTCAAATCGTTCTCTATGTGCAGTAAAGAAAGATCTGAGAATCTGTCCTGTGCCACTGAAGATCGGAGCCAGATTCTCCTCATAACTGAGCAACTTATTTCGGATGTAGCTGAACCAATGGGCAGTCTACTTTAGTGTTGTCACGGTACCAAAATTTCAGTATTCGGTACCGATACCAGTGAAAATCCATGGTTCTCGGTACCAATTTCGGTACCAAAGCAAAACACAAAAACATGCTAATTGAACATCTGGTGTGAAGCTGTCCTGCTTGTAATGTGCTATAGAAATAGAGCTACGTGACAACCAATAGGAAGCTTTGCTGTTTGAGATTCACCTGGACAGGATTCATTGTTGGATTGTTTTCCTGGTTTTCTTATGATTCAAAATACCAGCTTATATCTAGTCTTCAAACTCACTCATGACATCATGATGAGCTTTGGACCCGTGGTGACCATGTGCCATGTGCCACTGACAGTGTGTGTGTGTGTGTGTCAGCAGATGGACGCTACTCTTTACTGGGGCAGCCGCTGCAGTACAGTCTGTGTCCTCCTCCCATCATGCACAACCACAACCAGTCCTCCTACAGCTCCCATCAGGTACAGCCCTGCACGTGTGTGTGCGTGAGTGCGTGAGCGTGTGTGATTGTGTGAGTGTGTGTGCGTGAGTGTGTGCGTGAGCGTGTGTGCATGTGCACGTGTGCGTGTGTGAGAGTGTGTGTGTGTGTGTGGAGACGTTTCTCCAAAAAAGCAGTTAGTTTCTAGTGTTAGTTTTTAGAGAGCAATGCATTGACATTATTGACATCTTTTAGTAACTTCCAATTAACAGAACTGTGTCAGTTTCAAATCTACCCACAGTTTTGTCATGGATTTATATCTTTTTAGTGAATAATTTTATGCAAAACACATCTTATTTTCAATCGTTATATGGTTACACATTTAATATAAATTAGATTTAAATTAGATTTTCATTGAATTATATTTTATAAAATATTATCATAAATTATATAATATTATCAGCATAAAAATAAAAGTTAAGAGTAAAAAATGTTAACTGAAAAAAATCACAAATTTCCCCCCTAAATCTTGCTTATTTCTTGGTTTAAATTGGACTTTAAATCCCAGATTTTCACACGTCTCAGCATTGACATTTTAAAAAACGCACAGAACTCAGCTGAGCACTACTCATTGTTAACACCATATCAAGTACTTTAACATGCATATATAGGATTAAAAGTTTTAGCATGTTTTTTTTTTTCTTTTTTCCCTTATACTTTATTTTATGGTTTCCTTCAAAAAATAATCAAAAATACAAATTCAGACTAGGGCCGGGCGATATATCGAATATTAGCGATAATATCGCAATAATTTTGACGATGATGTAAAATGTGAAAATATCGTGAATATCGAATATTTCAAATGCAAGCATACTTTCCCAAAAGAACACGCCGAATGTCCAACAAAGGAGACAACATGTTATTGCAATGCAGACTGCTCCACACGCCTCTACTACGCAAGCTTTCATGAGTGCGGTTGCCAGATATCAATAGTTCAAATCCCCGAATCAGAGCTTCGCTGTTACAAGCATACATTTTCTGCTCTGTGTTTTGCTTATTTTAAGCAATCTGGCAACCATTCGCATGCACTCACTCCTCATTGCGGAAGCGCCGCTGCAGATGATCTGAAAACACCAATAAACAAGCTGGAGTTTAGCGATCTAAATGAAAGTGTCACTCAACCAGTCTGTGTTCTGTCATGAGGTCTCGACTGTATTGTTTGCGATTGTGATCGCTGAATAAATGCACTTACTTAACCGCTGTTGTTTGAATAGAGAAACATAGGCTATGGCAATTTGGAATTACTATTAGGAATTTCACTGTTATAATATTTTTCATTTGTTTTACCAGTTTTCATAATATAGACAGAGAGTGCATAAGTCTTTGGTATTAATTTATATAAGAAATGCAGCAACTAGCTTCCCATCTGAGAGGGTTTTTAGTGCCAGTGGGATCATAGTTTCATGCCACAGAGCTTCTCTTAAACCAGAGACCGTTGACAGACTTGTGTTCTTTGCTAAAAACTTGTAAAAAATACTTAT